ACCTTACCTTCCAGCAGAATGCTTTTAGAGCATCTACTGTGGGTCCGTGAATCTCAGTCAGCGGTCCTCTATCTGGGTATACCCTTTCAACCTGATAGCCTGATTTAACTGTGTACTTTCCGTTCTTAGTGAAATGCCATCCCTCCTTATCAACCATTTGTATCCTGCTAAGTGGAATACTTTCTATTATTTTCACATCCTGAGGGTCAACTAGAGCTCGAATAACCGGCATGTTCCAAGTCCGCGTATCCGTATTAATATGATATGAATATCTATTAAATGAGACTTTTGGTTTTTATGATTATCTATATCGCGTTATAAATTTTTTAACCATTGATGATAAATTTAATGTGAATTTTTAATAGTTTTATTCCTTTATAGTCTTATTAATTCATAGTCTCCTTAAAAAAAACAAAATATAATATATATGAAAAATCTAAATTTTTTTTATATAGTTAATCTGCTTATTTAATTTATTTAAAAAAGATAAAATTAAATTAAAATATTAGAAGATAAACATATTGTTATAACACACTAACTTGTGAGAATAGGAAGTTTATAGATCACTGATTTGTGCTTGTAAGCATTATTTTGTGCACAAACCTAATTTCAAGACAAGTTAAAAGGTTTGGAATATTGTAAAACCTAATATATTGTAGACATGTCTTTCTTTTAAAAATATCTTTTTAAAAACAGTTAGTATAAAATATAGTAATTGCAGTCTATACTCGTAAAATGCAAACTGATTATTTAAGATGAATTCGTATTTTAATTAAAATATCTGTATAGTACATATTTTATTGTACATTAAACTTCAAAACAGAATAGTTACACAGTTTAGAAAACAAAACAAGAAAACTATAGTGTCAGTCTATTTACAGTCTCTATTAGATTGCTAGGACTTTGCACCCTTAGGATGCTTCATTCCATCCAGAAAACATAACTGATATAAATATTATTCGTTTTTTTGTGTAACTTCATTTTATGAGGAACGTGAGTTTTAGAACATCAAACTTTCTATTTATTTAAATAAATTATGTGAACACACTTTTAGACAAATGAAGTTTAAGAACTATGTTTGTCCATTGATAATTAGCTTTTCTGAGTAGTAAAATTAGACTTTGAGATTAATTCTTAAACTTGATAATCCTGGTGTCTGCCAGTAACCATCCGTTCACATGATGTTTTGGGTTACTGATTTTTCAGGTACATGAGAAAGTTGTGGGATGAAGTTTGCAAGCATTATTTGTAACATTTTAAGTAAACACACATATCATTGCAGCAAAGCCAAAATTGACACATAACATTTTATGTAAACACACATATTATTTGACATCTCACCTTTTCGTCGGTCATTATTATACTCTTGAAAGAAGGACCATGAGAGTAAGATAGGGAGAATGAGTTCGATATTGGACCAAGAGGCTTCTCCTGAAGAGGATAGCTGGGCAGAGAAAAGAGAAGGTAGAGAGGAATGGAACTCGCCAGAAAAGTATGCAGTGGAGTTGAAGAGAGAGGAGAGGAAAGTGAAAGGAAGACCCTTTTGGGTGCCATTTGTCTGATGTTCCTCTGTTAAGTAAAGTAGAGGCTCTTCTATTGTATTAACTACAAGTTTGGTTATTGTAACAGGTTTCGTTACTTATATGAGTTCAAATTTTATCATTCAAATGACTGATTAAATGATACAAGTTTGAATCTTGTAGGTAAGAAGATGCTCTAAGCGTTAGAAAAATATTTGTGGATTGGAATAACATATGCACAGTGCAAATCAATTAACACACAAGTCAAATGGTACAATTAAACAAAAAAAAAAACTGAAGGGTTTGAGTTTGATCAATTACCCTGAGATGGAAAATTGATCAGAGATCAAACCAGACTGTTACATGAATAACAAAGACATACGAAAAGTTAATAGACAGAAGTTATTAAGAATAAGAACTAATAAGCTCTTCAAAACTGCAGAAGCTGAGTGAGATAATCAGAGAAGATGGTGTCTTCTTCATTCAAAGCAGATGCATCATCATAATAGTTCAATGCAGAACTACTATGGGTAGTCTCTTGAAACTGCTCTGGAATACTGTTAGTGTCCACAAAGCCATCATCAACAAAAGGTACCCAGTTCAATAACGCAGAGTTAGTAGACTCCAAAATCAAATCATCAACGAACACTGAAGTGGTGTCCAAGTCAAAATCACTGAATTGATGGATATCAATCTCAGAGTAATCTAAGCTCATCTCTCCAGTTGAAAAGGCGTTGTTGTTGTTGTTCTTGTCTTGGAGAATGAGAGGTTGATCCACAGGCTCTTCTGCCATCTTCAAGGTCTCGCTGTTGTCAGAAGAATCAAGAGATTCGAAATCAAAATCGAAATCAAGATCAATGAGTTGATCAAAATCAATCTCCAAGGAATCATCATTGATGTTGTTGTTGTGTGGACCACAAAGACTATCACAAGTAGACATGATCTGAAGCTCCTCATCTGTCAAAACATTGTTGTATTCTAGGGTTTCGACACGTTCCTCACTAGAACCGGACTGGAGAACTAGGGTTTGTTCCGTGGGTTCTGTTTTCTCTACTGTCTCGTTGTTGTTACTCTTCTTCATCTTCTTCAGAGGAGGAGGCTGCTCTTCACCTTGATGATTATATGCGTCTTGTGCACGCAACTCTTTGATTTTTGCCAACAATCTCAAAACAGAGTTCATCGCACGCATCAGTTCCTCGGGATTCTTAGTTGTGAGAAGACGCTCATCATCCCACCACTGAGGTAACCCTAATTCTTTCCTCGCGAAACAAATCCCAAGGTCCTCATCAT